TTAGCATCTATTTGTTCTGAAAAAGTAACACAGGAGCTGGTACTTTCCCTATGCTGCATGTATTCTACAATTTTTAAAAATGTTATGTACCACTAGTTCCACTAAGTTTCAAGCCATTAGCATTATTTATGATTGAAAACATAAGGGTGAGATAGATGAGATATAATGGACACTTAAGCTGCTGCAGCACTTGGGATAAACTGTGCCATCCTATACTGGGTCAATACACAAATTACCACATACATTATGCCTTTTCCATTTCCTATTGTACAGCATGTTTGGAAGAGCCACAAATCCCACCTACCAGAGCACTAATTCTTTGGACTGAGGCAAGAGCATGCAAAAGGATTCTGCATTCAGGAGATTTCTAGCAAGGCTTCCTTGTATTACTAAATGCCCTTCCGTTCCCTCCAAACACTTCTTTATACTTCTCCTCTGGCTTTTCATTGCCCTTCAGATAAAGATAAAATTCCAGTTGTATGCATTATGAATGCCCTTATAGCATATATTTAGAACAGGTGGATGTACAGGTATTATACATTTAGAAGAATTATTCAGAAAAATGCCTATGCAGCACAGGTCTTCATATAGAAGAACAATGATTTACTGCAGTACTTACAGTACATGTAAGGACTGCTTTTTAAAAGAATCAATTCACTTAGTCCAGTTCTATTTCTTTCCTTACTGAACAAGTGATACTAACATAGTATATCCTATTTCTTGATATTATCAAATTGCTTGGTTAATCTAGCTGAGCTAGATTAAGATTTCTTCAGCATTCAAACTGTACTTTATAAGAAAAAAACTCCACAATATAATTTTTCTAGTAAAACCTTTGCTCTGCATTTAACTTACAGCTGATCCTGCAGTTCCACTATGATGTACTCAAGCTGTTCTTTTTCCATTTTATAGGCTACATCCATAGCTTCTATTTTCTGATGTAATAGCTTGTTTTGTGTGATGGATTCCGCCAGTTTAGCCTCTCTAAGGCGTACTAGTTCTTCCAGATAACCCTGGAAAAACAACATATTCCTTTATGGTACTATAAAACTTGCAAGTTTTTAATACATTTCTCATTTGTTTTGCAAAAAGTGTCTTGAGGAGCTAGCTCACATTTGGTATTCATGCAAGTACAGTACACTGGTTTTTAGACTGGTTTTGACGATATGGGGACACACATATTTTTTTTAAAGTTATCTCAGCTTATGAGATCGCTGAAGTTAACTGTATGGGAGACTAGGGGACTATTCATAAGTGAAGTGATGCATGGAGGTGGTCCCACTGTACCCTAGCAGAACACTGAAACTCTAATCCAAGATTTAAGACATCCTCAAGGTCTAATACAAGATTTAAGAGATTGTCCATTCTGGATGAGGCTGCACTCCCAATGAAGGTACAGACCTGTAGTTTGGGGGTGTTTCTTGGACCCAGGCCTACTGCCGGATAAGCAGGTGGCAGCTGTAGCCAAGAGCGTCTTCTCCCAATTTCAACTGATGATGTAGATAAGACAAAAAACCTGGAAACACTATTACCATCAGCAATAAATATAGCCGATGTAATATCCTTATTAAAAACCTTTATTTTAATTATTTCGAGTTACATTCAATTCTACTCAAGCCCGTGATAGAGGACAATTGGAACCACTATAACAATTATGTATATACTATCATATTTCCAAACAGTACTCATAATCATTTACACAATTTACAATAACAAACAGCACTGGTAACAATCTTATATGTTTTTCATTCACAATACACAGCTCTGAGAAACGTCACAAATCATTTAAAGCAAACAGCACTTTCAGTAAGTGAGAGCCAGTTTGGTGTAGAGGTTAAGTGCATGGACTCTAATCTGAGAGAACCGGGTTTGATCCCCCATTCCTCCACATGCAGCTGTTGGGTGACCTTGGGTCAGCCACAGTTCTCGCAGAGCTGTTCTCTTGGGCAGTTCTCTGAGAGCTCTCTCATCCCCACCTACCTCACAGGGTGTCTGTTGTGGGGAGAGGAAGGGAAGGAGATTGTAAACCGCTCTGAGACTCCAAGTGAAGGGCAGAGTCTAAACCCAGTCTGGTGTAGTGGTTAAGTGTGCGGACTCTAATCTGGGAGAACTGGGTTTGATTCCCCACTCCTCCACTTGCACCTGCTGATGTGACCTTGGGTCAGTCACAAGCTGTGGCACAGCTGTCCTTGAAAAAGAGCAGTTTGTGTCAGAGTTCTCTCAGCCCCACCCCCCTAACAGGGTGTCTGTTGTGGGGAGGCTTCTTCCTCTACTAAGTGGAGCCAACTCCCTGCGATGCCCAGCTATGTTATTGCATATGTATAAAGTTTTCACCAGTTCATAAATACCTGAGATTGAAGTTCTTAAAAGCTTTTGAGGCGCCCCTCCAGACTGAATGTCGTTTCCTACAGAACTCTTTCAAAGTTATCTCTTTCTGTTTGTATCTGGAACCTAATCTCTCTAGCAAGTAAAGTTGTTAGGCAGCCACTGCCTGTTTTTTCTCTCCAAGAATGATTCTATTCCAATTGCCCTCTTACCACGGTCTTGAGTAGGATTGAATGTAACTTGAAATCATTAAGATAAAGGTTTTTAATAAGGATATTACATTGGCTATATTTATTGCAGACAGTAATAGTGTTTACAGGGTTTTTTCTTTTTTCTCTTATCTAGCTTATACTGGAAATTTTCCCATTATATTTTGATGTTGTCAACTGGCTAGCCAGCTGCAGTCTTTCCTGAGTAGAAAAAATCTGGCTACTGTGGTGCATGCCTTAATTAGATTACTGCAATGGGCTGCCCTTTAAAAGTGCTCAGCAGCATCAATTTGTGCAGAATGCTGGCGTGAGGATGTTGACTGGAGTGGGTTGTAGATCATTACAGTTTTGGCCCATCTACAGTGGCTCCCAACTTGTTTCTGAGCACAATTCAAGGTACTACTGTTGACCTTTAGATCTCTATACAGCTTGGCACCAGCATACCTGAAGGACCATGCACTCCATTAGGAACCTACCCAACCACCTACAGTCGTCTTCTGAGGTCCTGTTTCAGATGCCCCCACTTCCCGAGATCAGGCAGGGGACAACCCAAGAAATAGCCTACTTAGTCATCGTGCCATATTCTTTCTCCCCAGGAAAACTCATCTGTCTCCTTATGGTGCTGTCTTCTACCAGCGGGTAAAGATTTTTTTGTTTCATCTGTCAATTCTTCAATGATTTCTTTCCTGCCTTAGGTTTTCATTATTGTTTTTATGTGTGCATTTTAGCTTGGTTTTAATGATGTGTTTTTGTTTGATTTTAATAGTTTCTAAGACTTGGTTTTTTATGTACGCTTTTAATCTGTTACCCACCTTGGTGGCCTTGATGTGGGGAGAAAGGTGGGGTATACATTTTGTAAATAACAAAATCTCTAAAATTAAATTTACTAAATTTTCTTTTGCTATTAGCACATGTCAGACCACACATTTTCAGCCACTTTTACCTTAATGAAGGGTTTACCTTTTGCTCCAGTGTAAGATGATATTTCTGTTCAACTCTTTTGCATTTATTGTACCAGCTGTTTTCATCCATGAAAAATGGAGGACCAATATTTTCTGGAGTGCTACTTTCGCTGCCGGTGCTGCCCAGTGTTCTCAGCTCTTCTTCATCACTACTGATGCTGTCAGAACTGAGGGACAAAATTTAAAAGCTAAACACAATTTGGTGCAAAATTTAGCTGAAATCTCCAAACTGTTTTAGAAATGAAATACAGCTGTTCTTTGAAGACTCATGGGTACAGTTTCACTATCTCTCCCTTTCATACATTGGTGCTTGGGGAGGGCAACAGTGGGACGGCTTCTAGTGCCCTGGCCCTACTGGTGGACCTCCTGATGGCACCTGGTATTTTTGGCCACTGTGTGACAGAGTGTTGGACTGGATGGGCCACTGGCCTGATCCAACATTGGCTTCTCTTACGTTTTTATGTATATTCTTATGTTCACTCACCACCATGCTGCAGACAACCTGGTGAGGACGTACCAACTATGTTCTCTGCTTTGTAAAAGTAAGAAACTCTATTCAATATCACTTAATTTTACCTCAAAGTACAGCAGGGGCCATGTAGCTGAAGAAGAAAACAGAGCAGGATAGACCCATCATTAGGCATGACAAGGCATATCAACAAATAATTTTTTTATCCTGCCATTCCTTCAAAGAGCTCAGGGCAGCAACATGGTTACAGTCCTTTCCTTTGCCCTTACAACTACCCTGTGACATAGGTTAGAGACAGCAACTGTCAATGAGCTATGTTGCTGAAGGGAGATCTGAACCCAGAGCTTTCATGCCCTAGTCCACCACACTGGCTATTCGTAAATTTGCCAAGTCAGCACAGCACAGTCTACGCTCATGAACAGTGATCCATGGTCTCAAGCAGGAGTCTCTCCCATCCTAAAAGCCTTTAACTGGAGATGCTTATAATTTGAGTATGTACAACATGGATTCTACTAAACCACAGCTCAGGCAGCAAATTTCTAGAATACCATTAAAGGCAACAAACTGCCTATTCACTTTTACTATGTATGGTACCTTTATACAATAAATAATATTTTATCAGCAATTACATTTAAAACAAAAAGCTGTATTAATGTTCAGGAAAGAAAACGTTAAACATGGTTAACCTTCAGCAGGTTTTGCTGAGGTACTTTGCTTCTAAGTGCTAGAAAGCCCACTTGCAGGGAGGGCAGGATATAAATCAAAGAAATAAAATAAAATAGAATAGAATAGAGTGGTCCTATTCCATAAGAACTCATACAGCAATTAAGAGGTATTCTTCCCCTGGAAGAGTGTAGCATTTTAAACCATCATTACTTTATTGGAGATATTTAAAGCTATGGTTTGTAAGTAAGAAATAGACTAGAATTTGTCATCTCATCCAATTTAGACATTGTAACAAGTTACAGTAACATGGCTGCAAACTAAGAATACAAACTGAGAATCTACAAAGTTTGAGTTCAGTGGCACCTTTAAAACCAACAAAGTTTTACTTTCATGCACATGCACACTTCTTCAGAGTTAAGCATAATGAGAAGAAGCGCTGAACTGTATGTACTCAAACTTCAGAAGCTCATTCTTAAATTAAACAAACCAGTCTTCTCTACGTGTACTCTGTACATACATTTTTCAAGTTTTTGATCTCTTTAAATGGCTGTCAAATCTTTCTATAACTTTATTCCCAAATTCTGCCCTATCATCACACAGATTACTAGAAACATTTACATCAATATACTTTCTCTCCAAATAATTTAAGCATGCATAAAGGAGGAGAAAGCTTCAGTGCAGTCTAGAGTTCCCAAATGAATTCCTTTACAACTCATGGGTTTATGAAGCCCAAAGACAAAGTAAAAGGGCTAAATTCAACTAATCACCATGGAAGCATCAGAGCATGCTGGAGACTGACTTCAAAATGATAGGCAAGAGGAAAGCTAACCATCTATAAGCCACCCTGAGCCAGCTTGCAGGGAGGGCGGGGTATAAATCAAAATAATAAATAAATAAATAAATATAACACTGAAGTGTGAATCCAAGATGAAGGTTCCAAAATAAAAATATACCTTTGCGTGAACTTCAGGTAAGGTGTGTAGTCTATCACAGCTGGGTAATTACCATCCAGGCCTTCTCCCTTAAGACAGAAGCTGACAATGCAAGAAAACATTAACAGTTTTCAGTATTTGAAGGAACAGTTTAGACTCTAGAGTACTGAAATTCAGTTACCAACTATTTTACTTCCATGCAAAGGTTTGTGTTTTTGCAATATGCTTTTAAACATATTGATATTGTATGCATCAAGTCAGAAATCAACATTTTTTAAGAGAAAGGTATACACCTAGTTGATAGTACCTTTCTCAAAAATCCCATTTTAAGAGAAGTTGTAGGAAAATTACTTATTGCTGCACATTAATATTTGGTTTTTATATTCTTCAGAGGACAAAAAGTACCTTTTAATCACAGGTTGAACACCTTTGTGCAGAGAATCTGAGAGTGAGCACTGATGTATTTTTATTTTAACTATAGACTATATAGTGCTGCGGTGGCTCAAGTGGTTAAGATGCTGAACTGCAGGCTGTGGAAGGTCGGTAGTTCAGCAGTTCAAGACCCAAGTGTGCCACATGACGGAGTGAGATCCCGTCTCTAGTTCCAGCTCCTGCCAACCTAGCAGTTCGAAAGCAAGAAATTACAAGTAGATAAATAGGTACCACTTCAGTGGGAAGGTAACAGCGTTCCGTGCGCCTTGGTGTTTAGTCATGCCGGCCACATGACCACGGAAATGTCTTCAGACAGCGCTGGCTCTTCGGCTATGAAACGGAGATGAGCGCCGCAACCCTAGAGTTGGATATGACTGGCTTTCGAGCAAGGGAACCTTTACCTTTGCCTATATTGTAGACTATAACTATATTGTAGACTATAAAAACAGTATAAAAAGGGAAAAGAGCAAAGCAACACCAGGTGAAGAGAGAATGGGCTGGATCCACTCAGTCTCAATTCCCCTCTTTTTTTTCACTCAGTCTCAATTCCCCTCTTTTCAACAGCTCCCATTGTACATGGCTTTTGTCCACAGAGACCTCACAATCCCCATAATAGTCTTTTTAGTAGAACTTCCTCCTCCCTTTTTACCAGTAAAAAAGCTGGTTGGAGCCATCCCAACATTCTTCCTTGTCTAAAGTCATTCATCAAACCAGGGCCAGGGCCTTTTCAGTGGTGGCTCTGCACTGGTGGAACAAGCTCCTAGAAGATACTAGGGCCCTGTGGGACCTTTTACAGTTCCGCAGGGCCTGTTAAACGGAGCTCTTCCACCAGGTCTTTAGTTAAGGAGCCGCATCCAACAACTAAGACCCTGAGCCCACTGCCACCATCAATAGCCTATGCTTTGCCAAACTGCAATAACAATCACTGACTGTATTGTTGTTTGTGATTAATCGTTATTAATGTTTTTATTGCTTTCATCCTGTTTTATATGGGCTTTGCCCCTTGTAAGCCACCCTGAGCCCATTCACGGGGAGGGCGGGGTAAAAATCCCAATAAATAAATAAATTTTTAAAGTATGTCTGCTGCTATTACTACCTCGCCATCGCCGTATAAACTGATACTAGTACTTTAAGTCTTGTTTTTACAGCTATATTTATAATTGTTGTTTTAATTGTCAAATTTTATGTAAGCTGCCTTGAGCCTGCCTTGGCAGGGAGGGCGGGATATAAATAAAATAAATACTTCCAAATTAGAGAGAGAGAACACATTCCAAGCCAGGCTGCCCCTTTGCCATAAGACCTATCATGCTGCTTTCATGTTCTCTTACCATTTTAAAAACTGCATGTTTGTACACACAAATTATATAGCTATAATTTCAATATAATACTAGTACAATGAACAAGAGAAGAGTGTGACACATAATTTCGGCAGAGATCACAAATGACCCAATTACACAGTGAGCAACTCAAGACTGCTGAGATACTACTTAAACCAGGCTGCAAGTAGTAGCAACTTCTAAAAGAGAAATAAAGAGTTCTTGAAAAACATTTAAACTTTCATAGCTATTCTTTGTTATACACAGAACGATTATCTATAAAATAATAAACCAGATTTAAGGAAAGAGAAACAGAGACTGGATTTTAAGAACAGCTACCAAAATCTTGTGGAAGGTCAGTAGTTCAGCAGTTCGAGACCCAGGGTGCTGCATGACGGAGTGAGCTCCCGTCTCTAGTTCGAGCTCCTGCCAACCTAGCAGTTTGAAAGCAAGAAATTGCAAGTAGATAAATAGGTACTGCTTCGGTGGGAAGGTAACAGCATTCCATGCACCTTGGTGTTTAGTCATGCCGGCCACATGACCACGGAAACATCTTCGGACAGCGCTGGCTCTTCGGCTTTGAAACGGAGATGAGCACCGCAACCCTGGAGTTGGATTCGACTGGCTTTCGAGCAAAGGAACCTTTACCTTTACCAAAATCTTTGAAACAAATCCCCTCCTTCACTGCCAGTCCTAAGCGGTTACCTCGTCAGACTCAGAGAGAAAGAAAGGGAAAGGGGGTCAGGAGACCCATTTCCCCTTCCTTTCAATAGTTCTCCTCATGAAAGCCTGGAGTGGATCTACAGAGGCTTCCTACCCAATCATCATAAAGGTGGGCTGCAATTTGCATGTGTCTCCTGGCCTCTCACAAGAAGTGCAGTCACCAGGAGCTACTTTTCTTGTTTGGTGGCTGACACACAAAGATGGGAGGATCCTTGCCCACCTGAACATCCTTTAATATAACAATATAGCCTTTATGAATTGTAACAAGCAATCAAACACAGATTTTTTCCTCTGTTCCCTGATTAATCCTTTACAAAGAAAACAAGGATACCTGAAATCAATAGCATTGAGACCCAGCAGCATACCAGCAAGCATGTTTGCTTCTTCTCCCATTACAATTGCTCCATCTTCATAAAATCTTCTGGAAAATATAATTATTTCCAATTCAAACAATTGGAGTCAGTTATCTGTCACTCCTACTATGCAAATTACTAAAACTAAGCAAAGTTGCTGCCTCTGAAGTCTGCCTTAGAACCATCAGGGTGGCACTGAAAAAAGCTACCCCCCCCATGCTGTTGCTACTGGAACTGGTATGGAACTGCAAAAGGAGGTCTCCCCAATCATGCCACTGTTGCCTCGCTCCAGGGCAGGCTACAAAAGTCCTGCCTCTGGAGTCACTGTTGTTCCTACTGAGTTGGCATGGTAGGAGGATCTGCCCTCATGTGCTGATGCCTTTGTTGCTGGGATGATGTGAGATGAGAAAGGCCAAGTCCCGAGGAGGGTAATTGTGGAGGCAGAAGGATCTGAGTCATTCCTGGAAGCCAGTGCTGCCGATGAAGTATTTATTTTCTATCCTTAGAAGCACCAGGCCTCCATTAAAATCCCATGAGCAGCACCTGAGGTTTCCTGGCAGTCTTCAAAGGCAACCCCACATATGACACATTACAATAGTTTAATCTGGGTGTTAGGAAGGAATGGGCAACAGTGACCAGGTCTGATACTGCCTACCTCAAATCTACAGTTAATTATTCACTCAATAATAGTCCAAACGGAATATCCAATTTTGCTTGTATATTTGTGAAGTCTCCTGCAAATTCACTTGAATTACTCAGGTATATTCATTTAAGACAAGGGCTCAGGTTCCAGTTCTGTATTATTAGTTCTATGCACAACACTCCACAAGCATATCTATATATCTAATAGCCAAGTTGCCCCCGGAGTGCGGATCGCTAAATCAGCGCTCCGGGGGCAGCTGGGGGGTCGGGGGAGGTTTGTGCACACGTGGGCCAGTCCCCACGTGTGCACAAAAATTGCAAAAGTTGAAAAAAAATTCGGGGGGAACGCTCTGTAGCTGGCCGCGCCGCCGCCACCTCCTCCTCGGAGCCCGGCAAAGGGGGGGGAAGGACCGGCCTCTCCGCCGCCGCCTCCGCCTTGGAGCCGAGCGGGCGGGGGGGGAGGAC